CCCCCAGCCACATTTGGCTAAGAGGAAACCTGAGTTCAGCCACACCCCCCTCAGATCCCGCAGAAACCTATGGGAAGATTTTACTGACTCCAATTGAAGCCCGAGGAAGCTAAGTGTATGAGGTACAGAGGGATTGGACCTCGGATACTTTAGCCTGTGGGGAGGTACAGTGTACCCAAAGGAAGAAAGGGGGTCTTACAGAGAGCATTCTTCATGCAAGAGAACACAGGGAAGATTGGGAAGATGGAGTTAGGGAATGACAGACAACTCAATGAGGCTCAGCACTGCCCTCAGTTCACCCGACTTCATCTACCCCTGTGTATTATAAGGCATCATGTTAACTAAATAAATTCACAGCTTCTGAGCCTACACTCTGTAAGTCTTTGGGACACTTGGTTCAACACTTCATTCACATTTCAGTGCATGAATTTGGTCTGGGGAGGATGAGAAGGGCAATACTGAAGGCACGTACGCAGTCACCTCCAGAAGACCGCACACCCCTACCTTACAGCATGCCAGCCTCAGCGTCTCTCAGGAGGAGAGTTAGTTGACTGGGGAGTCTGTCCAGGGTCCACTGGCAATATTTCCCCATGGAAAAGAAGAAGAGCATTCCCCACCAGACAGAAAGGAAGCTCTCTCAGAAACTCTTCAACACACCTTCCTGTGACATTTCACCACAAATAAGGGAGGGTTGCAATAGAGTAGCTATTAGTACGGTAACTCCCACTGTTCAAGGAAAGATGCTCGTACAGTCACGTGTGGGAGATTACAACCAGCCATAAATGCTCTCAACTTCTCACATCAAAAGGTAGTGCGTTTTCTAACTCCTTAAATCTGGATTGGCCTTGTGACTGGCTTTAATCAACAGAATGTTGTGGAAACGATATTCTACAAATTTGAACTTAGGCCTCCAGAGGCCTTACAGCTTCTACTCTTCTCCTCCTGGAACGTGATGCTCTGTGAACAAGCCCAAGGTAGCCTCCCTAATGATGAGAAACCACATGGAGAGAGAGGCCGCCGGCACGAGGAAGCCAACTCATATCATGTAGAGCAGAGACGACCCATGTGGGTTTAAAAGAAATCTGGAAATTCTCTGATACTTCTCAGGTAACATGGTGGAGTTGAATTCCCTCTCTCCTTGACAATGGATTGGCTTTAGAGACTCCCTGGTAAGGGATACAATGCAGTCAAAGTGGCACTGTGACTTCTGAGACTGGGCTAGAAAAAACAATACACTGCCCACTGGGCTCTCTGTCTTTAGACACACGCCATGGGTTCACCGAGCCAACATTCGAGAGGTCTGACTACGTTGGAGCCACCACGCTGGAGAGAATACATGTAAATAGAACCGGGTGCTTGAGGAGTCTGCTCCGCGTCAACCAGCAGACATGAGTGAGTGAGTGAGCTGTCACATGACACTCACTTCAGATGAGCCCCCAACTTGGAGACACTCTATGCCGACGCCGGGTGAAGCAGAGATAAGTGGTTCCTGCCAAACTCAGCCTGAATTGCAGATCTGTAAGCAGGATACATGTGCTCATTGTAAGCCACTGAGTTCTGAGATGATGCATCAGCTAACAAGATATAACAAACATGATATTGCATTTTCTTAATCTGGTCTGTCATAACTTGGTGAGTTCTGGTCAGGGGTGTGCTTAAGCCTCATCAGCATGAATCAGTGAGGAAGAAGCAGCTAGAACAGGAAGTGAGAGGGATGGAGGCTAGAGATACCGACCTTGGCTGCAGAGGTAGCTGCGGGTTCCAACACATGATGTTTGAAGGTCAGGGGTACTCAAGTGGAGGGGAGGGGAGAGGTCACAACCCAACAAGTGTAAGTACACATTTTCAGGGAGGCCAGCAGATACCACGTGGTAGCCATCCATTGGGGGGGCCTCACAAGGTCTTAATAATTCTCCGTCCCCAAGGGGCTTTCCGTTTGATTTTATTACCCAGTTGGAAGGACAAAAGTAACACATGTGCAACTTTTAGAGGGAGAAGTAAGTGCTCAATCACTTGGGCTATGTGTTCAGAGAACAGAAAGTTAAACACGAAAATTACCCTCACACCATACTAGTCGTATTCGTTCACCTATCACTAGCTGACCCTGTCTTAGTCAGCTAAACCGAAGGTGGGTCACTATGGCTCGAAAATGATTCCAACCTATTTCCTAGAAATGAATGGAAGGGATTGGTGAAAATAAACCACTACTTTTCAGAAAGAGAAGGGTGTAGACTATGTCGTAGTTTGAATGTGAGAGTGAAATCTCTATCTGCCCCAAATCTCATTTTCCCTTCCAGCATTGGTTTTGGGAAATCCATTGCACGCTCTTGCCTTCATGGACTAGGCACTCAAGCACCAGCGTCATGTTTTTGTATAGGTTACGCTGAACCTCTACCCATGAGAGAATCTTGTGTTCTGATCAAGCAGGGGTGGAAAATAATAATGGAAGGGAAACCACAGACACTGAGCATTTATCAGGGACTGAAGGGTAGTGTATCTTGTGTCTATGACTATCCGGAATAATCTCATATTCTCATTGTGGAATGTTACTACAGATTTTCTACCCATTTGCCAAGAAGAATATGGAGAAAGGCAGCAGTTTCAGAGAAATGTGTTCAAAATAATCTGTTGCTGTTGGTAACTAAGACTTGGAATAAATTGAACTATAGGAATCTATGCTCCTTTTTGATGTTCAGATGGTTGAAAGTTTTAGAAAAGGGACTTAGTTTATTTTTGGTTTTTATGGTTCAACTATTTCTCAGAAGGTCAGTAGGCCTTGGGAAGGTTTATATCCCATATTTGGATTACTAGATCTATGTTTTAAAGAAGAATGTTTGGGACTTCCAAAAAATTCAACTTATGGAAAAGAATTGTAAGATAAATAAGATTTCAACTGCCAAGCCAACCGCTTCACGTCTCCATTCAAGGGCACCATCACACATCATTTCACTTCATGGCAGCTATTAGTAAATCACACTCCAGAGAAGTTTCTGGGGTCCTCCAGTAACTTGTCTGTTTTTTTTTTTTCTCAATCCTCACTCTCTGCTCACCCTTTGGACTTGACAAAAGAATTTGGCTAACTCAGTGTATACATCGGGATTTTTCCAGTTGCATGTCACAAAGTATTTAAACCAAACTATCCTGAACCAAAAAGGGAATGGATTGGCTCATGTGACTAGAAATTTCAGAAGTTCCAGGTACATCATGTTTCAGGAGCTCAAATGAGATCTCTCAGTCACATTTTTTTTCTCTGTCTCATGACTCAACTTCTGTGTTGATTCCTTTCTCAGATAGCCACCCCCCCCCCAGTGGCCCCCAAGTAGCTGCTACCTGCTATGGGAAAAACTTCCTTCTAGGTTTAAATCTGGTAGAAATAATCTGATAGAAAGTCGAGAGATCCACATCAATTAGACCAGTCTAGATCTCATTCCCACCCTTGTCCTGAGATAATATGATGTGCCAATTGGTTTAGGCACCAATCTAATACCTAACCCCTAAGCTGGATCTCCACCTATACTGCAAGAAATGAAATGGGGGAGGAATGGGTTCCAAAATGAAAACAGGGCCTGTTGATAGGAACACAAGGTTGGATACCAGGAAGGCAAACAACAAATACCCATTACATCTAGTTTGGGCCATTAGCTCTACCCAGGCTCAGATCCTAGGCTCTTACAACTCTCCAGCCATACGGAGCTCTCCACACCCTTAACTTGCTGTATTTTCCTTCTTCCTCTGCCTTCCTGCATGCTGGGAAACTTAGAATGGAGTCTGGCCTATTGCATGCCTGTCATGAAAAAGTGCAAATGAAACTAAACTCTAGGACCCAGATCCGTAATTAAGGTCTTGGACTCAATCCAGTGAAACAACCTAGCAACACCAGGATTGCTACAGATGTATAGAAATGAGCATTAATGCTCCCAAAGTGTATGGATCATGTAAGCCAAAGCACATCTAATTTGAAAGATCTATCCTGATGTAGGAAGAAAGATGATAAAACATCTGTAGCCGACGCCCAGTGCCCAGAAGCCCTCACCATGGTGGCCAATACACCCTGGAAGTGCTTCCCTCTCTGTTGTCATCTTGAAAATATTCAAGACTTCTCCTCCAAGCAATTAATCCCTTTGAAACTACTAGACATCTGACATGGTCATTCATCCTAGAGAAAAGAAGTCTGACTTCAAATATATGAAAGACTGTGAGCTAAATAATAATAAAGTAAAATAAATAGACTTTTTTTTTTTGGTAATTTTTTTTAAGCATGTGACTAGAGCTCAAAAAACAGCACATCTCATTCAACGCACATTTACAAAGAGCCTGCCAGGGCCAGAGCTGGGTATACAACATTGAAATGACACAAGTAAGATCTCTGCCTTCAAGACTAACCCACATTAACACACATATGAATACACACATTAACAAATGCCTGTCTCCCCCCCCTCGCCCCACCCCCTGCTGGGGCAGCAATAACCCTAGGTGAGACCCACTGCACCCTTTCCACCTCTCTCCCAACACTCCCACCTGGAAAGAAGGTGAGCAGGCTTGGGCTTTGCAACATTCTAGGCCCTGCTTGGCAGCCTCCAGCTGATGACTCCTCCTTCCCTATTTTTGTCCTTCCCGTTAAATCCCTCTGTGTCAAGACCATCATGGCACTTTCCTGCTGCTTTCCCTGCTGTTGCGGAAGGGCTGTGAACTGGAGCAAGGCTCGCTGAATAATTTAAAGGCAGTTTCTCACTTCCCGAAGCAGTTCTCCAGTTACGTAAGATAGCATCGGGCCACCCAGCTCTCGGCCTGGGCCTGAGGCAAGTGAGCCCTGATGGTGGCTCCAGCTGCAATCGCCATGAATCAGCAGTGGCACTAACTATCCCCCGACTTTCATGAATTATGGACGTCACTCTAAATTGAGGGATGTGGGTGGAGGAGCAGCTGCTGGGGTTGGTCAGCAGCAGGATCACAGGCAAAAAGGACCACCTACTGGTGCTATGACAACAGGTCATGTTTGTGTTAAAAAAAAAAATTCAAGTCAATAAACATGAAGAGCTCACTGGCTTTATTAAAGGCTCCATGAATCGGGCAGCATCCCACCTAGCAAGTAAGGGATGTCTAGAGGAGTTGTACAAAATGGAAGGAGAGTACGGTAAGTAGGTTATAAGCAAAAGAAAAGAAAAGATCGTTCCAGGGTAAGATCACTTTCCCTTAGGGGGAGGAGCGGGGGGCGGGCAGTCTTCCTGTGCACATTATCTCACCTTCCTTTGGGAGATAGATTCCCTCAATAGTGCTCCCTGGAAAATTCCTGATTGTTAGGTTAGGACTTAGATTTCTGGGGCAAGGTGAAACCGCAGTTAGGGTAGGTTCTAACCCCCTGTTTGGTGATCTGGCCTGGCCCAAGGAATGCTCCTTTGGGGCCTGTGGTTTTCTTTTTAATAAGTGTTTACATTTTCTTTTAAGTTTATTCATTTTAAGAGAGAGAGAGCATGTGCTTGTGAGTTGGGGAGGGGCAGAAAGAGAAGGAGACAGGGAATCCCAAGTAGGCTGTGCACTGTCAGCACAAAGCCCAACGTGGGGCTCAAACTCCCAAACCTTGAGACCATGACCTGAGCCGAAGTTGGATGCTTAACCGACTGAGCCTCCCAGGAGCTCCAACGAGTGTTTCTAGTTTAAAAATCAAGTCTGGAATTTCACCTACTTCCTTCTTCCTGCCACCAGCATTCTCTGTCACTTCACTAAGGTCATTCCACCTTCTCCAGGGAATTCAGAGAATCAGAAATCACCAGCGTACTGGAGTCCTAAGTATGAACAGAAGTGAGACTCCTTCTGTGAGGAAGACAAAATGCAGGAAGGTCTAGGGTTCCCCAACTAGCTTTGTTAACTCAAATCTGCAACAAAAATTCATTCTTAACATTGCTTAAATGATGATCATACTTGCAAGATTTCTGGGTGTGTTGGTTGAAATGTGATTTTTTTAGTTTTTTATTTTAACTCCAGTATTGGTAACATACAGTGTTGTATTAGTTTCGGTGACTCAACAATTCCATACGTTACTCAGTGTTCATCAGGATAAGGGCACTCTTGTTCCCTGTGCCTATTTCACCCATCCCCCACCCACTCCCCCCTGGGACCATCAGTTTGTTCTCTATAGTTACGAGTCTGTTTCTTGGTTTGATTCTCTGTCTCTCTTTTTTTTTTCTTTGCTCATTTGTTTTGTTTCTTAAATTCCACATATGAGTGAGATCTTACAGTGTTTATCTTTTTGTTTGACTTATTTCACTAAGCATTATACTTTCTAGCTCCATCCATGTTTTTGCAAATGACAAGATTTTGTTCTTTTTGATGACTGAGTAATATTCTATTGTGTAAGTATATACCACATCTTCTTCATCTATTATCAGTTGATGGACACTTGGTCTGCTTCCATAATTTGGCTATTGTAAATAACACTGTAATAACATAGGGGTGCATGTATCTTTTTGAATTAGTGTTTTTGTATTTGGGGGGAAAATGCCCACTAGTGTGATTACTAGACTGTTAAAAAAAAAAAAAGAAAGAAAGAAATATTGTGATTTAGTTAATACTGAACAGAAGCTAAAATTGGAGGAAGAATGGAAACAAATCCAAGACATGGGGTCCTCTTTATATCCACCTTATGAAGGTTGCTCTTATTAGTTTAACTAAGCTCCTGGATTAATTTAGGTAAGCCCCTCTTGACTCATTCCTTACTCATGTAGGGATCCCAGCATGAGCCTAAGCTGGGTTCACTCTAGGACTCAAGCAAGTCAAGACATGTTGCAAAGATAGGTGGGGGTGGGAATGGGGGCAGTGTTCAGTAGGGCTTTACCTACGTGACAGATAAAGGAAGCTTCTGGAAAAGAACTTTTCAGGAAAGAGAATTGCAAGGCAAATAAGTATGATCCAGAATGAGAAGGACAAAAGGGCAAAAGGAGTGAAGTGGGAGGTCTTCTGAGAGGTTGAGGGAGCCCCAAACTCATGTTTTTGAGACTCCTAAAATATTACACCACTAAAAAATACCAATACTGATTTATAAAAATGGGCACATTTTTACAAATTCACATTTACTATTTAAATTTACATTTGCATTTAACATGGTCATTTTTTAACACCAAAACAGAAGCAAATCACAAATAATTGCACTCTTCCAAGATAATGAAAGGATTTATAAACATTAGTAATTCATAATTCAACGCAGGTAGGGTGATCCAGTTCAGGAGCACCAGGGAAAGGTATGTTGAATGCTGTCCGGTTTCAGTTCTGACAGCATCTCTGAGACCGTATGAACGACCTCGTTTGGAGTCATCCCCATGGCTAGCCTGCATGGGGGACTCCTACACCGTCCATCTGTCCTCACTGACCCAGCCTACAGCTTTTGCCTAGGGAGCTGCAGGGAAAAGGCAAGTGGAAACCACAGGAGCTCTTTATCCAGAAGCTCCGAGAGACGCTGAGCTCGCAAACCTCTGGCGCCAACAACTTCTTCAGCAATTTTGCTGAGTTTGGCAGCCACAGGAGTCGGCTCAGACATTATTGCCTCAACTGGGCGTCAGCAGCTTTGGCACAGGTGTGGCTGGGCCATCACAGAAGTGGGAGTGCCTTCTACTGACACCAGCAGTGGCTACGTCTTCCAGGCATACTGACACAACTGTCGCTTTCAATATTGGTTATAAGAAAGAACACCAATGGGAGCCAGATCACCAATGGCGGAAGCCGTGGCATAACCAGGCAGATCGTATTCCGTCAATTAATCCTTCCGTGTCCTCTCCCTTGGGGCCAGACTTCCCGCAGAGGGCACATATTCTGTTTCTCCATGGCTGATTTTTAAGGGGCAGACCATGTGGGGAATCACTGCCTGTGACAGGGTGTGTAAGTCTATTTAATTCTGGGGTTTAATATTTAGAAGCCCTCTTGTCCACAGAGAGAAAGTCCATTCTTCAATACAAGATTTACTTAGGAATTATTTTGATGTTATAACTTTGAGTCTACATGCTGACTCATCATCAGTGTATTCTCGGGGCCAGGTATATTATCTGACCCTAGCAGACACATAACAATATATTCGTGAGAATGAATGAATGAGAACATATGCACAATACTCACCCCAGGGCAAAAGCAGGAATATCTGGTTAGAATTTGAAGGGTGTGCCATGAATGGGAAGAAGGCAGATCCAGAGAAAAATTGTTGGTTGCAACAGTGACTCAAGTTTTTTCCCTAAAGCTAGTACACCCCAGGAAGCATAACTTATTCATTTATTGACTTATAATTTCAAGAAACATCTTTTGAGCACTTCACTTGCACCAGAAAGAGAATTGTCACCTTTAAGCGGTTCATATTCTAGTTGGGTACACAGACCTGGATGCGAGTAATTGGGTTTCAGAATGACAAATGGTTTACCGACAGTGTAAAACTAGTTGCTACAGGGGCTTAGAGAAGGTGACAACCCTGCCTATCAAGAGAGTTAGAAAAGTTTTTAAAAGCTGAGGACCAAAAAATATCAACTAAATTTATGGATTCACAATAAGGAAAAGAAAGAAATGCTTGTGACATTGAACAAACTTCCAAGTAACTGCTGAAAGGGTATGGAGCCTCTAAGGCCTCTTGGAGAGTGTCACTCTCCCCAAATCTCCAGCTGTTTGCCAACCTGGAAGCTCTCCACACACTGTCCTTTTGGGTTTGTATGGAGGCTTCAACATATAGGAATGGTTTATTAGATTAACCCGTTGGCTATTGGTGATTGATTTAACCCCCAGCCCCTCTCCCCTCCATGAAGGCCAGGGGGATGAGAGCAAAAGTTCCAACTCTCTAATCCTGTGGTTGGTTTTCTTTGCAATTTGCCCCCATCGTTAGGTGCCATCCAAAAGTCACCTCTTTACAAAACAGAGGACAACTTTATTGCTCTCGTTGTTTAGGAAATTCCGAGGGTTTTAGGACCTCTGTGCCAGGAACAGTAGACAAAGACCAAGTATATATATATATTTCTTACTATAAATCACAGTATCACACCATTCAACCCACAAGGTAGATAATGGCAGAGAGGTTTATTGCACATAGACCCTTTCTACCTGGGTTAATAGATCAGTAAGACAAAGGGCAGCCATCTAAGATGGACGTCTGTCTCCAAAACCAGAATTGGGGCTAAGAGACGCTTGCAAATTGCTAATGGTTACAGTTCACACTGTGCTCAACTGAAATATCTTAATAACATTACAAACTTGTGTATGGAGAAGCAGAGGTCACTGTGAAGAGAGAAACCTGATGCACAATGAGAAAAAGCCAGAAGGAGCCAGGTGCCCATAGCTTAGTCCCTATGACACGGCCTCACCTCCTACTCTTGGATCCTGTTGCCCCATAATAAATCCTTGGCACACCACATTTTTGCTTAAGTTAGTTTAGTGGAATCTTCTGTGTTACCAAAAGAGCTTGAGGCTTTAAAAAAAAAAGAAGTAGAGCAGAGACCCTCTTCTGGGATGAATGGTCTGTAACTCACTAGCTGCAAAAGTTTCAGTTGACTTACAGGGTTCTATAAAGTCTGTGTAGTTGTGGGGAGGTAGCTACATATGAACTTGGACACCTCATCCTACAAACTATTGCTTGCCTCTGGGAAATGCAGTTGCTTAGGTAGATCGCCTGCTGAGCCCCCAACATGGAAAGGATATGCAGGCATGGATGTTACCTCCAAGAAGAAAAACTGAAAACAGCTGGACTGGGTTTAGTGATGTTACTGTAGACTGGACTGATTGTGCCTTGTGCCGTTTATGTGGTGCTCTTTTAACCCAGCTGAGATAACACCAGAGTTTCTCTCAGCTGTGGGATTGGTTCAGGGGAGGGAGAGATGGATGGGGCAAACACGGGCACCAAAAGGAACGTTTGGGTTTTGTTGGTGCTCATGGGATCAAGATGGTCCCCAGATAGTGTCGCTGGTTTTCAGGATTCTGGGATTGGTTTGTTGATTTCCCTGTGAAAACCAGGAAGAAATCCCAACTCCCCCAGTCACTGCTCTCTGAGCATTGCAAGGGCCTCTTCCAGCTGGGGTCCTAGCCTTATCTTGCTGTCACCTTTCTAAAAGTGACTGTACCCCACCTCAGGCAGGGTCACCCCCACTGGTGGCAGAGCTGGAGGCGGGGGGAGGGGGGGTGCTGCGTGGCGGTGGGCCAGGCCAGAAAATGCTTGACAGTGCTCTCGTTTTGTTCATAACATAAATTATTGCTGTCATTTTAGAAAATTTAAATAAAGAGTTTCAAAACAATTAAACAAATAGTTATTTTCTAAAGAGACCACCTTCTATGGGGCAGGGGTTGATCATTTTGCTAAAGGGAATGATAATTTCCAGAACCTGTCACATTGGGATCGGACGATCCAGAGGCAGAAAGAAAAGACTCAGAAAGCAGAGAAGATTTAACCTTTGAGGAATCTGACGATACTGAGGCCAATGGCTCAACAGAGGGGGATGGGCTCGAGGTCTTTCCTCCCTGTGGGAAAAAGAAAGCTGCCATCTACTACAGTGAGATGGGCCAGAAACTATACAGGCTTCCATGGGTGAGCTCTGAGAACAGTCATATCTATACTGGTTTTAGGTTTCTCTGCATTGTAATTTCCTTCTGTGATATTAAAGCCTTCAGTAAATTTTTGTTGGTACAGTCTGGCCTTGACCTAATTCAAGTAATGAATGGAAGGGTCTGTGTAGAGTAGTAAAGGGGAAACAGACTTTCCTCATCTTGAGGTCAGCTTCATGATGGAAGAGAGAAGTTTCTGGAACTGCATAAAGTGGCCATCAGGAAAGTTGAAAGAAAGCCCATGGTGGAGTGGAGTTCACCAGTCTGGAATAGTGCAAAGCAGAGGCATGGGTACAGCATGATTGGCCTGGGAACCAACATGAAACAACCTTTTTCCACCCACCTCCTCCCAAGTATGCTACAGGGGAAGGAACAATTATGGCAGAGACTGTGTAGGTGCCAGACAATAATATTTCCCCCTCTTGAGCGCCCCCTCTTGAGCCCACAGAAGACTACATCTTCCAGCCCCCTTGTAACAGCCAAAGGAACATGACCAGAAGTGAAATAAACCACCACTTTCAGGCCTAGACCCTAAAATCTCCATGATACACTCTGCTTAGTTTCTCCTTGCTTGCTGGTCAGCTCAATTCAGACTCTGGGAGCGTTGTAGAGGACAGCAAACCCAAAGGATGGAAGGAAGATGAATCCCTGAGTCACCGCTTGGAGGAGAGCTGCCAGACCTGTTTTGAGTTGCAACGTGAGTGAAGAATAAACATTTACTGTGTTCAACCACTGAGATTGTGAGGTTGTTTTGTTCCTGCAGCCAACATTCATTACTCTAACCGATACAACAACATAAAGAGATGCCTCAAGTCCTGTTATTACTCAGATGAGGGCGTTTGAGCCATCGGAGATCCAGGTTACAGAAACATGAATCAGATATAGAGCTTTCCTCCAAAGAGCTTGCGATCCGCTAAGAGGGTTAGACAAAAAGTGACAACAGAAGGGTAAATAGGACCTAATAAATGATGTTGTGATGAGGCATGAGGCCACCAGGAAGTGTTTAAGCAAAGATTCTTATAGCACCGTTCCTTTGTCAGAATCACTGAGAGTTTCACTAGTAGTGAAGTCATGGAGATCCTACTCATTTTTCTCTCAGATGAGCTCATAGGGTTTTGTTTGTAACCTCTATTTTTTCATTGCCATGGTTTTATCTTTTACTTCTCCATGGTTATTGGAAAACAAAACAGATTAGAGAGACACTCTATATACTCGGTCAGTTCTCACTGAACCAAGGACCAACCTTTACTAACACAGTGCTTGTTAATGACGTGTATAACTACAAGCCCAACTAGGACTAAAACTTTTTTAAAATACTTTTAAAGGTTTATTTCTTTTGAGAGAGAGTGAGCACATTACATGTGTACGCGAGCAGGGGAGGGGCAGAAAGAGAGAGGGAGCAAGAGAATCCCAAGTAGGATCTGTGCTGTCAGCACAGAGTCTGATGCAGGGCTCGATCTCACCACTGTGAGATCATGACCTGCGTGGAAATCAAGAGGTGGACACTTAACCGCCTCAGCCACCGAGGTGCCCCTAAAACTTTTTTTTAAAAGGTTGACCCGGCGTCCTTGGGGAAAGAGCTGTTCACATGGGATATATAGACTTTATTTCTTTTAATCTCCTTTTCCCGCTTCCTTGGGACCTAAATAACGCACAAAATCAGAGGTTTGTGATGGCAGTTCTTTCTCTCATGGACTGCCAAGTTACACTGGGTGAAAGGAGAAATCCAGCCAGGTGACGTGGGTTGGTGACTTTTTAAAAAATTTTTTTTTTAAATCAAAAGTCACTTACGATATCTGCTAACCACGGATGAACCTTGAAAACATGAAGCTGGGTGAAAGAAGCCAGACACACACAAAAAACCCCACATACGGTATAATTCCATTTATATGAGATATCCAGAACAGGCAAATCCGTAGAGACAGAAAGCAGATTAGCGGTTGCCAGGGGCTGGGGGTCGGGGGCGGGGGGGGGGGGGGGGGGGGGGGGGGGGGGGGGGGGGGAGGAAGGGAGAGGAAAGGAGGAGTGACTGGTGCTTAATGGGTACAGGGTTGCCTTTTGGGAAGATGAAAATGTTCTGGAACTAGATTACGATGGTGCTTGCACAGCAGTGTGAATGTACAAAATGCTGCTGGATTACACACTTTTAAATGGCTAAAATGGCGAATTTTATGTTCAATGACTTTTACTTCAATTAAAGATATTCTGATTTTTTTTTTTTAAAGTTAACTTGACATAATCTGTCGCCTTCCTTGCCCCACATACTCCTGCTCTGTCTCCTACTCATCCTTCCTGAAACTATAGTATTCATAATGGTAGCACTAATAACAGGAGAAATTAAATGCAACTCCCTGCAGCCACACTGGCAAAAGTACAAAAGTCAACTTTAGGGGAATTGACCGTCCGCCAAATCAATGGAAGCTCTGAAAGGCGAAATCACATGCTGTTTCGTCAAGTCCTGGGGGAGGCGGTGCTTCCAGTCGGGGCGGACACACAGCTGTAGGTTCCTGGATGGGAGATTAATAACCAAAGAGTAGAGAAGCGTATCTGGGTCCCGTCTAATTCTCTCCCAAATGCATGTTGGTGTTATTTATGGCTCAATCATTTTTACAATCCTCTTCCCTCCCCGCACTGGTTTTTGTGGCAAACCAGACTCAGACAGAGAAGAAGAACAGAGTAACCGAGGGACAGGAGAGGATCTGAGGTTGGATTGTGATTGTCATGCCGCTCTCCCGAGAGCCACCCCGTCCCTGTCACCCATGCTGCGCCAGGCCGGGTAGAAAGCCATGTGGTTTGAAGAAAATAGACTGAAGACGCTTGATTTAAACTCCTGCCCTCCCCTTGCACCTCGGCCACACCTTCTCCTCAGGGAGACGGCTTAGCATCTTCAGCTTGAGTTGGGAGATAAAGGGAATGTTGGCAGGAGGTTTGTCACTTCATAAAGAGGCTCATCTCCTTCGCAGAGGCCCCGGTCCGTTCCGTGAGATGGTTTCCAGGCATCTCCGAGTGTAAAGGTAGCATGATGGCAGCCGACCTTCCAGGGTCCAGCACAACAGAGAGCGAAAGCCACGTGGTGGTTTTGACAATTGAGCCCTGCCTTGAAGAAGACAAGAAGGGAGTCAAGCCAGGTCACTGCCAGCCTCAGAGACAGACGCATGCTGGAGCTGGCTTGGCTCACGGGAGGCAATGATTACATTTGAGCGTATTTTGCAAGCCAGTTCTTAAAACTAGTGTTTAAAAAATTATATTACAAATATGACCAGAACTGAAAGAGCTCTCAGTTTAATGGTTGCAATTTGCATACAGGTGATAACTCCTGGACAAACTGTAGGTGACATAGCAAATGTAATGGCAATAAACAGTGGGGAAAGCTTTAGTGGATTGGAATGTGACTCCATTTGTCACATCATGGTTGAATTGCAAAAATAGGTTGGCTAGGGATATGTGAATGCAGCAAAAGTCAACAAAAGCATTTTGTGAAAGTCAATTGGTTGTATGGAATTTACAGCAAAGTGTGCCATGCATTGTGTTATTGTTTGTTAATTGTATGAGACACTCCCTTTATATCAGTGAAATTCATAATAAACCCATAAACGCATTCTTTTTGGAGAGCCAGTTGTTAAACATTACTAGCTCACCACTGCCCGAAAGTCGATAATCCAAGGAGACCCGAATCGAGTCATTTGGAAAATGAAGAAGTGAAATGAAAGAAAGAAGGAAGGAACAGAGGCAGGCAGGTGAGCAAGGAGAAGAGTTATCCTAAACAATCCTACTCCTTGCGTTTCAAATCTAAAGTAGTGAAGGAAATGATAGATATGAAAAATAAAGGGCTCTCTCTGCAAAGGTAGAGTAGGTGGCCTCCCGTCTGGTGTGATTTGAGAGGAACTCCAAAGCTTGCCTGCCTGGAGATATCTACCCCTCTGGCTTGCCCGAGCCTGCTTCTTAAACTTCACAGGATGTGAGTGTCCTTCCTTTGGGTGAGCGTTGCCTCCTGGAGCTTTCTCTTGCCTCCAATATCACTCATTAGCACCTTGCCCACATTTGTGTATAAATAACCACATATGACCTTGAGAAGCACTGAACTTCTTCCCGGGGGGGAAAGAGACATAATTAAAAGTTCTGATGTGGGGCGGGAGCTGGAAAAATCCCAGACCTTGGGCTTGCCTTGGCAGTACGGGCCACAGATGGGGAATCACGGACAGCCGTGGATATAGCCACTGAGGGCACCGGGGAGGGAGCATCAGGGTTTTGCAGAGACAGGTGCTCCAGAGGCCGCTTCATCTGTGGGTCAACTTGATGTGTATGCTGGCATTGAGCTTGCACGTTGGACCCCACGTGAAAAATAAGGAGGGTAGAGTGATTCCTAGTGTAAACAATGGACTTTGGGGGATAATAATGTGTCAATGTAGGTTTCATTGATTGTAACAATTGTACAGGTCTAGCGGAGCATGTTGATGGTGGGGAAGGCTGTGTGTATGGGGACAGGGGTGTATAGGAGCTCTCTGTACTTTCTGCTCCATTTTGCTGTGAACCTAAAACTACTCTAAAAAAAAAAAAAACAAAGCCTATTTCAAAAAAATAAGGGAGTTAGGATTCCAAGTGTTTACCTTGTTTACTGTTCTAGTCTGAAGCTGCCCACCCAGGAGTGTTCTTCTCACTTCTCAGCGCCCCTCACCATGTCACGATCCTAAAGTGTCCCATTCCATGATGGCAACATTGACAGTTCTTGGAAAGACATAATTATAACTTAATAAATAAGCAGACATGAATGTGTAGACATACATCCAAAGTGATGGGAAAGATGAGAGAAAGCATGTCTCTTGCACTCCCAGAAATCACATAGCAGAACTAATAAATAGTCTTGGGGTGTCTGGGTGGCTCTGGTGGTTAAGCATCCAGCTTCAGCTCAGGTCATGATCTCGCAGTCCGTGAGTTCGAGCCTCGCGTCGGGCTCTGTGCTGACGGCTCCGAGCCTGGAGCCTGCTTGGGATTCTGTGTCTCCCTCTCTCTCTGCGCCTTCCCTACTCGTGCTGTCTCTGTCTGTCTGTCTATCTCTCTCTCAAAAAAATAAATAAATAAACATTAAAAAAAAAAAACAAAACAGACCCTAAAACTCATGCGAGAATAGCCTGGTTGTTCTTTACTCCCTTGAGCTCTTGCTGCATGTATGGAAAAGTCACGTATTTTTAAAAAGGGGTTAGGAATGAATCACTGAGGCCACACAGGCGAGGCTAGCTTTTAGTGGTGATTACAAATGCCAGGGTCACTAGTGCGAGGCGAAGTTGCTCCATTGGTATGGGTCGAACTCCCCCCTGCTGGGCCTGACCTGTCCTACTTGCCACAGTGCTAGCCTAATGAGGATTAAACCTTCCTTTCTGGGTCTGCTTCAGTCCAAGAGAGCTCTGGGATGGCCCCTGGCGATCCAGATCCGTCTTCAATACCAAGGTCTCAGTCAGCAGCCATTGCCTCACCCACCAGGTTTGGGCCTTGCTAAACCAAAAATGCAACCAAGTGGTCTAAGAAAAAAACTTAAAAACATCTTTTTTAATTTTTTTAATTTTTTTTAAATTTATTTTTGAGACAGAGCATGAGCAGAGGAGGGGCAGAGAGAGAGTGAGACACAGAATCTGAAGCAGGCTCCAGGCTCTGAGCTGTCAGCACAGAGCCTGACGCGGGGCTCGAACTCACAAACCGTGAGATCATGGCCTGAGCCAAAGTCGGACGCTTAACCGACGGAGCCACCCAGGCACCCCCTAAAAAAATTTTTAATGTTTATTTTTATTTGAGAGAGAGAGAGGAGAGAGAGAATGAGAGCATGCATAAGTGGGGGGAGGGGCAGAGAGAGATAGAATCTCAAGCAGGCTCTGTGATGTCAGTGCAGAGCCCGATGCGGGGCTCGAACCCACTAACTGTGAGGTCATGACCTGAGCTGAAATCAAGAGTCCGACACTTAACTGACTGAGCCACCCAGGCGCCCCTAAGAAAAATAGATTTTAAAAGACATCCCTGTGTCTTTTCTCACACAGGTCGTTGCCCTCATGCTTTGGCCTCCACGGACACTTGCACTCCACTGGCAGAGATGGGACCACAGGGCACCCAGCCCTTGCCTCCAGATGGCCATGACTTTCACAAGAAATCACCTTTGAGAAGTCACCTCCACGTTTCAGTCTGGGCGGGAATCTTTTTCCTTCACGCCTTCAACCCTTAGACAGAGCCAGTGAGTGGCTCTTTCTTCCCGGGCGTTAGCTCTCAAGTGGACAGTCTCTGCTTGGTTCACCCACAACGTAGAGGGAGCAATCCGGTGTAAACAGAACACCCAGAAACTGAGTTGAGTTTCTGACACGTGTGAAAGCTGCCCACTTAGTTACAGGATAGCAAGGCAGACGACGGCTTGTGGGAAGGATTCTTAGTCAACAAATAGAAACCACAAACATGATGAAATCATGATTACCAGTGTATCTTCTGCCGTCTGCGCACAGTCAGGTGTCTCTGGGAGGCTTCCCGGGAACATCAGCTCTACAATTGCCACATAAAAGAATTGCAGGAAGCAGGTGACTAAGCAACTCTGTGCCTAGCGGCCTCGCTCCTCCAGAAGTAAAGAGAGGCCAGGGAGGACGAGACCAGGGAAGGGGCGCTGTGCTTTCATGGCTCTAGCCGTTTCCGAGCACAAGCTCTTCTTTGCTCAGCCCTCTGCCGGGCAGTGTTCACAGGAGCCCCAAAACATCAGGCGTATCTCCCTAGAGCAGAGCTCACCCTCAGCAAGATGAGAGAGGGCTGTGCCAGACAGCCATCCTTGCTGAGGTGTGGCTTCTGGGCTGTAGGGAGAGCCCGACGGCAGAAGCTAAACCAGGAGAGAGTTAACCCAGAGCCTGCAGATGGCTAAAAAAAATAAAAATAAAATAGAAAGTAGCAGTTGACTGTTTGCTTTGTGGTTTGTATCTCTGTTCACTCAGAAAGGGCTGTTTTCCCTCAGAGCTGCAATTAGCCCAGCTCACGAAGGATACGCCGAGGCCACTCCTGGCCGCCAACCATCGCTCCCGCTGTGACACCCTCCAACTGGAGAAGTTCACCGACGAAGAAGGGCAGGAGGCAACATGGGCTCAGTCCCTACTTCCAAGGCTGCTTGTCTTTGACCTTGTTTTTCTAACCCAAACTCCGGACATGTGGTCTGAAAAAGGATTTTTGTGTTCCCAGGGGCATGAGTCAGTTGGGAGAAACATGGTTTAGAAGGACAGATGTTGGAATTTCTGGTACATTTTAAGAATAGCAAAGAACAGTAGTTTTCAAATCAAAGGGATGTGATTAAAAATTCTATCTCCACTACTTAAAAACTGCAGTCTTGGACAAATTATTTTACTGTGACACCGCTTTCCTCTTGTAAGAGGGAAGAGTGATACCTATCGCGTGCAGTGGCTCTAAGTGTTGAGGTAATATGTGCATTAGGAGAAGAGAAAAAGCGTCACAATAAAGTTGCCACAGATGCTTTCTAAGGAACTGGGATCCTGTTACAGACGGCCCTTTTATTCTCCTGAACTTCTTCATGGGTCTGCTGGCTTTTCTTAGTAAAGAAACAAGAATTTGGACTTTGGGAATAGTCCAGGAGTGATTCCCTGAGGAATGGGATGGAAATAGGGAAAGAAAATAGAATCTGGTGAGATGGTGTGGGGCTGGGGGAGGAAGCTCCAAGCCAGGGGATTTAACACTTGATAGACAGACCAGAGTCCAAATTCTGCTTCTTTTTTTTTTTAATGTTTAAATTATTTATTATTTATTTTTGAAGGAAAGAGCGAGCGAGAGGGGCAGAGAGAGAGGGAGACAGAAGATCCAAATCAGTCTCTGTGGTGACAATAGAGAGCCCAACACGGGGCTCGAACTCATGAACCGTGAGACCATGACCTGAGCTGAAGTCGGATCCTTAACCGACTGAGCCACCCAAGAGTCCCTCAAATTCTGCTTCTAACACTTACCAACTGTGGAGCGTTGGGAAGTTATTTGCCTTTGCTTGGTTCAGTTTCCCCATATAGAAAATCAGGATCATAATTCTTCCCTCTCGGGGCTGTTGTGAGAAATAGATGAGATAAGATTGTGGAAGTGCCTAGTCGGTAGCATCTGTTGTTGCTATTGTTGTGAATGGCACTGAGAATATATGGTCCGATCTCTGCCACAGGGGACAGCTTGGCAAAGGCACATTCCCCGCTTGTGCAGCTAAAACTGGGCACGTGCTTGGCCCACCTTCTCCAGAGTCCAGTGTTATATGGGGTATAGTTGGGAGAGCCCAGGGAACATCTCCGGATACTGGCAGTAGCCACCACACCCAAAGCCCTACCCGAATCTCAGATACGTACACACCACACTCTCCCCTTGGTATTTTATTTTTGAGCCAGGAAAGCAGCATTCTATAACGGGATGACAAATGTGAAAGGCCTACATTTATGCAAATAAAGTAATGGGGGCCCCTGGGTGGCTCGGTCGGCTGACCATCCAACTCTTGATTTTGGCTCAGGTCAAGATCTCGTGGTTCATGGGTTCGAGCCCCCATTGGGCTCTGGGCTGACAGTGTGGAACCTGCTTGGGATTCTCTGTCTCTCTCCCTCTCCCTCTGCCCCTCTCTCCCGCTCATGCTCGTTCTCTCTCAAATAAAATTTTTAAAAAGATTTTAAAAAGTAAACTAATGTATGCGAAAGTATTTTGTAAACAAACTCGGGTGGGTGTATTATGCAGAAGTAAGTCACTGGAATTACTTTATCAGAAGACAAGGGCTTCGTACACGCAAGGCTGGATATTCCTTTTTTATGTCAAGTATGGTTTTTCTCAGATACATCATCTAGGCATTAAGGAGTTAAAAAAATCATCTTGGGGGCACTTGGTGGCCTGAGATTCTCTCTTCTCTCTCTTCTCTCTCTCTCTCTCTCTCTCTCTCTCTGCCCCTTGTTACCCTCCACCAAATAAATAAACATTAAAAAATAAAATAAATAAAATCAAATAAATCATCTCTGCAGCTCTACTTAGTTTCTGCAGGGTTGCTGAGAATGAGTGCCACTTCTGTGCGTGGCAGAATTGTGTGGCTTGTGCCCAAGCACAGGGGACCTGCCCGCTGTGCCTCGAAGGGCAGCAGAAATTGTGTCTGCCTCCTGTGTCCCTGCACTAACGCCTCCATGCTGGTGGCAGCAACTATCTGCTGGGCCCATAACACAATAGTGAGTAAAACACAGTACATACAAGTACACACAAATATCGTTCAATTAAATGCCTAAATACATGTATACACGTGCATTGCAAAACAAGAGTTAGGGGTGCTTGGGTGGCTCAGTCGGTTAAGCATCCAACTTCGGCTCAGGTCATGATCTCACGGTTCCTGGGTTTGAGCCCCGTGTCGGGCTCTGTGCTGGCAGTTCGGGGCCTGGATGGAGCCTGCTTCAGATTCTGTGTTTCTCTCTCTCTCTCTCTCTCTCTCTCTCTCTCTGCCCTTCCCCTGCTCATGCTCTGTTTGTCTGTCTGTCTCTGCCCCCCCCTCTCAAAAATTAATAAACATTAAAAAAAATTTAAAAAGAAAAGAAAAACAAGAGTTAAAAGAAATATGTCAAAAGATGGGATTAAGGAAGATTTTCTTACAATGTGTGGTTGCTATCTTTAGAATAGAGGAAAAAAAGAAAAGAAACCAAGCTGTCTCTGGCTTATTAATTAGCATCTGGTGACAAATAAAGTTTCTTTACATATTCTCTTCCTCCATTTAGATTTGTGTACCTTAAGGTGCACCTGGGTGGCTGTGTCAGTTAAGCATCCAACTTCGGCCCAGGTCATGACCTCACAGCTCCTGAGTTCAAGCCCCACATTGGGTTCCATGCTGACAATTCAGAGCCTGGAGCCTGCTTGAGATTCTGTCTCTGTCTCTGTCTCTCTCTGTCTCTCTCTCTCTCTCTCTCAAAAATAAATAAACATTTAAAATATTAAAAAAAAGAAAGATTTGGGTACCTTGAGACTAAAGACCCTCTCTGCTATTTCTCTTGTTTTCCCCCTCCTGGTACCGGGGTTTTTGCACCGAGGGGCAGTCAGCCAATAAGTCTAAAGGAAGGATAGGAGCAGCTGATATCATCAGTTCAGTGATCACTTCTGTAAAGGCCCTGTGGTCAATCTCTCAGCAAAAGGACCAGCGGGTCACTGGGTGAAATTCTACAGCATTGAAGGTGATGAAATACCCAGTACAGAGGAATAGCAAAAAATAAATAAATAAAAAAACAAACAAACAAATAAATAAATAAATAAAAATAAATTAGGGTCAAGCACACCTGAGTTTCAATCCCAACTTTGCCACTTAATAGCTAAGCAAGCTGACTTGGCCAAGTTACCTCTTCTGTGAGCCCCAGCTTGATCACCAATGATAATACCGCTCCTTGAGGTGGTTGTACAAATTAAAGGAGGTACAGTGCCTGGCAAATTGTTGGTAGCTTCCCTCCTTCTTTTGGAAGCATGGATCATTTTACTAAGAGAAGGAGATCGTGAATAATTAAAATTGTCACCAGCTCTCACGGTTCATTAAATATCTTCTTTGGGGGAACTCAAAGGATTTAAAATGAAAATTTAAATGGTATCTGTGTGGACAGAATCCACCCACACGTGGAAAACTAGAGGTTGAGCCTTTGTTCTTGCTGCCAGCAATTAGATTGTTCAGTATTCCTCTGAAAACCTCTTGCTGTTTCATCAAATCTGATTGGGGAGGGACACTCGATTCCCCAGGGTCTGAGGTTAAGCGTTAGACAGGAAAGTCACATAGAGACAAGAAGAGATGAATACTATGCCTCAGCTCATTTATTTTCAAAAGCTTTTTGAGGCAGGAGAAGAGGCGGATGGGAGGAACTTTGAAAGACTAACCAGTTTGATGAGGCGAAAGGATATCGTTTTCATAATTTAATCCTGGAAAGCAGGATTATCTTTGAAGAAATAGATGTTGCAACAGGAGTAACTGTTATTTCTTTTCTGTTTCTCCAGGACAGCACAAGGACACTACAGTGACTGCCATAGGGCCATATGCAAGTTTATTTTGCCTCCTACACCTCTCTCTGTCCTCTCTTTCCTTGTGTTGTGACTATTTGGTTAAACAGTGATTTTCCAAAAATTATTTTTCTTAGTTATGTGCTGTATACGTTTTCTATTATCAAAATAATTCTATATTCTTTCACTCTGGCTTATGAAAATTGAATCTTTGCATTACCCCTACCTTGAAGGTGGTGGCAATACATCGTTTGGTCTATTTGCGCACTAAGCAAACCAGTCATTTTCACAAAGAAAAATGGTAGTAATGATGATTGGATTTTGGTGTGTATTATTCAATGTTATCTAATGCCAATCTGTATAAATTCCACTTAAAATGACCCTATTCCCACCATCCTTTGGGAAACACTCCTTCTGTCATGGTATCATCCATGTTCCAGAATCTTTGATCCTTACACTGTCACATCCTTGGAGTCTGGCTTTTGTTCTCATGGTCTCAAGATGGCTCCTCCACATCCTCCAGATACATCCTCATTCCAACTGGAAGGAAGGGTCAAGGACCAACACAGTGAGTATAACAGCTAATCTTTGATTTTTCATTGGGAAACAGTACTTTAACTAGCATTTCCACTCAGTTGAATGCAACTTGCCTCTCACTGGCCTGAATGATGTTACATGTCCATTCCTCACTGCAAAGGAAGGCTGTGGAGTCGTCCTCATGAGATGTGTTTCCTGTACAAATGTATCAGATATTCCCAGATCCATTTCCTTCCTTGGAGACACCGTTCCCGGTGTGCTCTAATGCCTGCCTCCAACCTGCCCAGGATATGCTCTAGGCTTGGTGCTCAACCAGAAACCAGGGACACTTCCATTATTTTCCATCCCGGGAACCGTATTCCTCTTGTTCCTGTGTTAGATCCTTTGTTTCTTGGATGATTACTTCTTGGTTTACTCTCCCTTTTTTGATGATGTGCATGTTTCCATAGCTTTTGGAAAAGGCAAAGTAAATTTTTGAGAGCTTACATGTCTGTAAATATCTTTTATCTAGTGTCGTGGTTGACTGATAGCTTGGATGAGTAGAATTCCGGATTGATTACATATCATTTTTTTCTTATTTGTTATTTATTTTTTTATTTTTTGCTTTTGAAGGTATTACTTCATTGTCATCTAATTTTCAATGATGTAATTGGGAAGTGTCATGCCATTCCTATTCCAGAACTTTTATGTATGTTCTCCTTTTTCTTTCTGGGGCTTTTCAGTATGCCATTTCACGTGTTCTAAAAGTTGGCTCGGTTCCTTATTTATTGTGTTAGGCACTTGTGAACCTTTTCATCTGGAGATGTATTTCCTTCAAGCCTTCGAAAAGTTCTCATATTATCTCTTTGGTCATTTCTTTCTCTCCCTTTTCTCTGTTTTCTTTTTCTGGAATAACTGCTAATTAAATATTGCACCTTTTGGATTGCTCATTTTACGTTCTTGTTTCTGTTTTCTCTCATGAACCATTGCTTTTACTTTTTATTCTTCTTTCTTATGATTAGTGTTTGCATATAAATCTTTTTCCATCACTTCCCTTTTAACTTGTCTGTGTCTTTCTGTTTAAAGTACATCTCTTGGGGCATTTAAGTGGCTCAGTTGGTTAAGGGTCTGACTCTTGATTTTGGCTCAGGTCATGATCCCATGGTCACATGGCCCTGCAGGTCACATGGGGCTCTGTGCAGGTGGTCCAAAGTGTCCTTGGGATTCTCTCTCTCCCTCTCTCTCTGCCCCTCCCCCAAATGTGCTCTTTCTTACTCTCTCTGTCTCTAAAATAAATATATAAATAGGCCCTAAAGTATATCTCTTGTCAGGGCACCTGGCTGGCTCAGTCAGTGGAGCGTGTGACTCTTGATCTTGGGGTTGTGAGTTCGAGCCCCACATTGGGCATAGAGCGTACATTTTTTTAAAAAAGTCAAAAATAAAAAGTCAAGTACATCTCTTGTAAACAAATATAGTGGGATCTTGCTTTTTATGCAGTCTGACAATATTTTTCAGATTTTGATTTCTATTTTGACTGGCTGCCCAGAGACTTCCAATATTTGCCAGAAAAATGATTCTGAATGTAGGAATAAAGAGAAGATTCTGTCAGAATAGATACACACAGAGGTGATTATTTTCTATTATAATTCCAACACGTCACTGAGTGAAACAATTTGTTGAGCCAGAAAGCTCCGACAGATCATGAAAAGCAATGTTTAAGATAAAAGGCAACTTACTCGAACTCTAATATGTGCTGTGGATAGAAACACCATCTGGGCTCCTTTTCCAACAGCTGTAGAGCCTTATGAGTCTGTATTTCTTTGATCCAGAAGGTTATCCACATACTCCTCATATGCGCCCCCCTCCCCCCCCCATATTCTGCTTCCGCCTTTCTCAGGTGTTGAGAAACCAGCACTGGAGAGCCTGTCAGCGCAGGAGTATGGCCTCTGGGAAATTATCCTCTCTGAGCCTCCGTTCTTCACCTGAGATCTGGCAGAAAGCACTGCTTTATGAGACATTATCTGCCTCTGTCCTGCCAAGTGGTTGACGCTAAAGCCGACTGGCTAGGGGAAGTGCATGGCCCAGAGGGGCATGTTGGAGACCCTTCCTCTCAGCAGGGGAGGCAGGAACTGATCTCCTGCACGTACACCTGCTACCTGACTTGCTTGGAGTAAGTGGTAAACCACTACGTGCCCTGTGGGTGTTAGCCCCAAGAGGCTTCACCTACTTCATTGTTCTTGTTCTATGACAGTACCTCACCCGCTCTTTCCCTCAGGGCTCTGTACAAGCTCCTACTTCTGACAGGAACGTTCTTCCTTCTCAAATCTTCACTCGGACTCCCATCCCCAGCTTGATGCTTCCTGGTAAACTCCTACTCTTTTTTAGATCTCAACCCAAACATCCCTTCCCCAAGGATCACTTCTCTGACCTCGACTAGACTCAAATTCCCCTGCAGTAGGATCCCCTAAAAACCTGCCCTTCCCCTCATGTAACATGCATCACAAACGAGAGTATTTATTCAATATCTGTGCTCTCTGATAGGACAGAGAAACTCCCTGAGGGCAAGGATCGTGTGTGGAATCTCCAAGACTCGATCCTGATCCACAGAGAGTTGCCCAACGAACCGTTGCTGATGTGAGGTGTTAATTTTAGTTGAAACGCACCCCATATATTTGGAGCATGTTGATGTTTGAGGACCCAGGGTGGAGTAGCGGGGTGACTGGGTGGAAGCTTAAGTTGGGGTCCAGCAAGAAGATACTTTTGCAGCGTATCTTTTTATATTAAAAACTCCACACATTGAGGGAGTCAGATGGCAGAGGAGGAACAGAAGGTTTCGGAGCTGAGCAGTGAGGCACTCTGCCTGTGAAGGTCCTTGTGGAACATCTGCTGAATAGAAGACAGAACAGAAGATCTGTGTCACAAAAGCAACCTCTGCTCGTTGGTACAAAAAGGTGGAAACTGAAAGTCTTTGAATCCTGGCCAACAATGGCCAGGACCAGTTACATGCTCAGTGTTTCCCTTTCCTCTCTGGTGAAAATCAAGAGGCAGAAAGTATGTTTGTGGTCGTGATAGCCATTTTCTTTTTGTACCGCAGGAGTAAAAGTGCATCGCTTGTCTTCAGGCACGAGAGAACCAAACACGGGAACAAATGCCTGCATTAAAAAAAAAAAAAAAAAATTCTCAACAGCGGGGAGGGGATTAAGAAGCAGTGACATTTGCTTTGAATAATTTGGACAGTTTATCAGAACTCTTCAAAAAATTAGATACACATGAAAGAGAGAGACAGAGAGAGGGGGCACTTGATTTTTCTCTATGTACTCTGTGTGTGTATGAAAAAAAAGAAAAAAAACAAATATGGAAAATGTTATTAATTGGCGAACTTAAGTGAAAGGTATATATGGGTATTTTAGTATTCTGTAATTTTTCTCTATATTTGAAATTTTATAATAAAAAATATCACCATGATTAATAAAGGCGAAGCTTTGTATTTTTAAAATACTATATTTAGTCCATCCAGGGAGTTTGTAGAAGCTTTATTTGCTGACCCCCACATTCCTCTCCCCGAGATTCTGTCTCTCTACCCACTTAGAACGCATAAGAATTTCTGCTGGAGCGACATGTCCAAACCCTCCCCCTAGACATCTAGCTAGTTCGACTAAGAGCCACTGCTCTAAAGGTAGTGACACTCTGGAGCCACTTACCAAAGCAGGTGATACGCCATCATTCTCCTGGAGAGTTTCACATGCTTTGAAGTTTTAGATATAATCTTCCTTAGAGGCAGATGGTTGAACCAGATAAGCCTCCCTAGGTCCTTTGATTATCAATGTGTCTGAATGCTGAGAGGTAAGGGTTTAGAGTCTCTGGAGTAAGTGTTACAACTCCCTTTCTTCTCCCTTATGATTTGACTGCTCAGATTTTTGAAGCTGGCACATACCTTTTGTTTTGCTCTGATTTGTTTGCTTTTCTGTCTCCTGAAAGAGCTAGGAGCCAATCTGCCCAGCAAAGTTGCCGGTGGCAGCATTCTGGGAAGCTCCCACCTCCGGATGATGTCAGACTTCATGTGACCCAACCACCATGCATCCAGAAGCATTACATCATTCCAGGATGTGATCCCTTCTAAACGCAAAGCTTGTTGTCACCGTGCTGCCGTTGCCTCTGTGGCCACTATGAGCAATAAGTTATAACCTCAAGTGGAGTCGGCGTTGTCCAGGTCAGCAGTCAAGGCTAGGTCAACAATAGGCTCACCTGAAGGTCAGAGTGTCCCCCACAAGATACAGTGGCTTCTGGGGCAGGCCACACAACACATTCAACGTACATGAGACATTCTACGATGGAAGATCAAGAAATGAAAGGAAGGTGGCTTTTTCCTGGCCAAATGTGTTAGCATGCGGTTCCTGTTTTGTTGAGTCAGTATTTTGGTCTGTCAGGTATGGGCAAATTATGTAGGCAAATGTTAGAGTGAATCATCACTGTTGACTGTCTGAAGGGAATTGGCTCTGAGTCTAAAACTCACGTACGGACAGGAACGGGCAAAGAGGACTTTTGAGGGGCATTAAAAGACAAGGCCTATTTTAAAGCCATTTGTGGGGTGTCTGGGTGGCTCAGTCAGTCGAGCGTCCCACTCTTGATTTCCATTCGCATCATGATTCCAGGGTTGTGCTATCAAGCCCCACATCAGGCTCCGTGCCAACATGGAGCCTGCTTAAGATTCTCTCTCTCTCAGGGCGCCTGGCTGGCTCAGTTGATTGAGCGTCCAACTTCAGCTCAGGTCATGATCTCGCAGTTTGGGAGTTCTAGCCCCATTAAGGGCTCTGTGCTGACAGCTCAGAGTGTGGAACCTGCTTTGGATTCCGTGTCTCCCTCTCTCTCTGTCCCATCCCCACCTGCACTCTATCTCTCAAAAATGGCCAAATGTTAAAAAGAAAAAAAAAAAAAAGATTCTCTCTCTCTCCATCTGTCCTTTCCCCTGCTCACACATTCTCTCTCTTTCTAAAAAACAACAACAACAACAACAACAACAAAGTAAAGACGTTTGTAATCCATAGTCACCTCAAAATAATTAGAGACACAATCTGGGGTTGGAGGGAGAAGATAAATAGTTAACACCCATCTGTAAAGGTGAATGTAACTAGAACAATAGAATTTTAGCTCTTACCATGTGCCAGGTGCTGTGTCAAGCACTTAACCAGATAAGGAGGCCACCCTTTGCCTCTTAGCCTTGTGTCCCAGGGGGTTCCCATCAGTTCCCACCTCCTAACACTGAGCTCTATTGGATGAGCCTCTTGCCGTCTGGAGCAATTCAAATACATCTGCATTTGGATGAGCTTCAGTGCTTCCCAGAGACAAGCTCAGGCCCAGGAAGGATGGCCTCAGTCATGTGGATCTCAGTAGCCACAAGCATTTGACCACCTTGCTGGATCTGAGGAAAGCAGGGAACTGCGAGTTCCAATCCAATTCTCCAGGAGCTTCAATCAAAATGACTCCTTCTACCATTATTTCCTCCGAGCAACAAGCCTTTGGTTTCTTTGCCATCTACACAACCTCATGGAAGTAAGCTCGTATTGGTGCCTCATCCTGCATCTCTGCCTCTTATCTATAAGCTCTTCCCCCAAAGTTCTTCCTTTCTCTTCCCCGGCCAACCCCCATTTGTATTTGAATTCAGTTTTGAAAAACTGGATCAGGAGTCCAGGAGGGATTTGCTCCTCTACTTACTCAATGGTTGTGTTCATCCGGCTAGCTTCCCCAGTGAGCCGAGGCCCCTTGATCGCTGCCTGCTGCCTCAGCTCTGGTCTCCTAGCAACCGTCAGCCTTCACAGTTTGGGAGGTAGAGGTGTCAAAGGGAGCCAGGGTGGCGGAGGTGAGACTGTGAGGAAAACTCCTGCTCCCGGGCCCTGAAGTGAAGAACTGTTGATTCGCAATCATTGCTTATTACAGAAGGGATTGGCTTTCCCTGGCATATTTAAGAATCAGCCCTAAGGGTAACAAGTCATTCGCCAAGGAGTGCAGGGTTGCACTTTGATGCCAGAAGCAGAAACTTCTATTTGAAAGATGTTTAATGATTCCTTACTTAGCCTGCCCTGAGGACCGATGAAAAAACAGTGGGGGTTGAATGTGATTTATCTTTTTTGGGACAAGAACAAGTTGGACTGACTTGTCTTCACTTGCTCTTTGAGAATAATGCCATTTTAAAGCCAGATAATATCTTAGGATCACACTGGTCAAATATCATAACTTTTGTAACCTGGTAAAATGAAGCCCAAAGAAGTTAAATGACTCACTTAGTGGGGGGGGGGGGGGGGGGGGCTGTCTTCCAATGAGGAAATGCTGGAGTTGGAACCAGAACGCTATCACCCAAGTCTCAGTCCAGTGCTCCTTCTATTACCTCACTCTCCTTTCCAGAGATAGTGTTGATATGCACTGAGGCACACTGGTTCACAACATGGTCAAGGTCATGGGTTGCAAAACAGATGGATGTTTTTAGGGGTAAGTCTTATGCTATAGACAGAACAGAACTAACTGAACCACATGACCCATGCAACCTGGCCTCACTAACAACATGTTCTTCCTGGCTGAGCTAACCAGGACAGGCAACAGGGAGGAAATATTTAAAAATAAACTAATCACTACTTACCCATGAGTCTGGTATTGAAAGATGGGACTCTTGGCTTGATCTTTAGGTTAGGGTCAGAAGCATGGTGTTATGACCCCACCCCAAGTTTGAACAGTCTCTGTAGTAGTCAGAATTCTTCACTGTGACAAAAATCTAACTCAAACTACCTTTAAGCAACAAAAAAAGTGGGAATTGATAGGCTGGTGTAGGTAGGAATAATAACTAAGGTGACTCAAAAGCCTGAGGAGCTGTAGGAGCCAGGGCTAACGGACTGAAATGAGGATTCGTTCCTCCGTGTGGCTTTTGTCTCTGGCTCTACCCTTAACTCTCTTACCTCTTCTGGTTGCAAGTCTTCTCTATTTGGTTAGGAGGCTGTCCATGCTTGTCCAGTGCTTCTCATTCTTCTGGCGTCATGCCCCCCGAGACACGACAGCTATTCCTTCAATTGCAAACTCAGAAGTGTCAGGGAAAGGACTCTAACAGACCTGGCTGGATTTCCTAATAGAGCTCTCCTGAACCATCACGGTGTCTGGGAGGGACAGGAATCCGTGGTTAGGCAGACCTGTGTTGCTGACCCATGCCTCTGCGAGTAGGGGGCGGGGGGGGGATAAGTGGTTACAAGAATCAGGGGTAATAGGAAAGGCTGCTCTTTTGTGGAACTAAAAGGCAAGAGCTCGCACCGGCACCATTCACTACATCTTGTTTTCTCTAAGCGCTGGCATTCAGCACGGTTGCCATTACATCATGCTACTCCTCCCTCCAGCCCACATGCATAGATATGGACCATTAATAAACCTGGATGATGACATTGGCAGTCCCAGGAATTCTTGGCAAGTTGATCAGCCTCGTCAGAAGCGATCTCTCGGTGGACCCCACACGAATCCTCCAGGGACTGGCGGGCAGGAGACAGTGTGCTACAAAGAGGAATGCTGGAAGGGAAAGTAAGTGATCTGGGTTTTGCCACTGGCCAACTCTGTAACCTTAGGCAAGTCCCTTCGTCTCTCTGTTTGTTTATAAAACTGGAGAAGTTGGCCGAGGAGATCACTAAGACCCGTTTAGCCTTCGTATCCTACAGGTGCATTTCAGGTGCCCTAACGGAGCAGGTCACTGCCCCCTCTAGTGGTTAATTTAAAGTAGAAAACGAGTTCAAGTGTATTTTCATTTCAAGATGAAGACAGGAACAACTTTCTCCGTAGAGTTTGACAGGCACATGCCAGTGGAACAAGGTAGAAAGGCAAACTTCTGGGAGCAGAAGGATGCCATTGCTTTGTCAATGGCAGCCGTTGAGAAGTGCAAAAAAGAGAGACCTCTCTCCTGCCGGCAAACGTTGTAGCCACTCTGACATCCATCCACCAACACACTACGTATCCCAACTGTAGGTAGTAGGTGTGTTAGAAGAAGGAAACTGATAGTAGACAGAGGAGTAGACAGAGAAGGAGAGCGAGAGAGGTTAGTCTCACAAATGCTATTGATCAAAACTCACTTATTCCAGAAATGTTTATTGAACATCCACCGTGTCCTAGGCACTGGTTGTGATTTGTAGCACCGAAGAAAAGCCTAACACAACAGGGACGCAGCCCTTGACTTTGGGATCAGGGGAGGTCTCTCTGAGGAAGTTATCCTTAAGCTCACTTTTGAGAACACTAACACTGTGATATTGTGATTTATAATAGGAAATATATATATTGGGGGGCTCCTGGCTGGCTCAGTCAGTAGTGCATGTGAGTTTTGATCTTGGGGTTGTGAGTTTGAGCCCCATGTTGGGGGTGAAGATTACATAAAAAATAGATAGATAAATAGGCAGGTAGATAGATACATAGGTAGGTAGATAGAATCTTTTTTAAAAAACATTTTTAAGAAATATATACATATATATTTCTCCAGTTTCTGACACGGGGCTCCTAAAACCCTTGTCATTTCCTAAATGATAAAAGCACTAAGAACATCTTTTGTTCTAATATTTGGTCTTTGACCCCAGTTCCTGACACAGGGCTCCTGAAACTCTCGCAATTTCCTGGGTGATAGGTGTGTCTTTTGTTCCAATAAGCGAGCTCCTGGATGGCTTTTGGATGAGAGCTGGCCATTGGAAAGACCAAGCCATGACTAGAAGCTTGGAATTTTCAGCCCCACCTCACACTCTATTGAGAGGGATGAAGGGCTGAAAATAGAGTTAAAGACCTCTCATGCCTATGTGAGGCAGCTTCCGTAAAATCCCAGTAGTACGGGGTTCAGACAGCTACGTCTATTTTACCACAATCTAAAATTACTATTACTTTCCTTTTTATACAGCAGCCAAAATTCTCAACTATCTTGGTGTATATCTTGCCCAGAGTGTGAGAATACTTAGTTAGAAGAGAGAAATCATAAAAACAATGGCACAGAACCCAAATCATGGAAGTCTTTGCTCTTGGATGAGGAAAGGAAGGAGCTCTTTTTCCATTAACCTAAGGAATTCATCTATTCCTAATATATGTCTACTCGTATTTCCTATAACTTTAAGAATTCTATCTTATTCCCTACATCTAGGATAACAAGCTTGATCCAGGACATAGGGAATAAGATGCTCAACATAATTTAATCATAGTATTCTGTGAAGAGTTTAATCCAGCCTTTAGCTTTTCTTAAAAAAACCATTAGGGCTGCCTGGAGGGCTCAGTCAGTTAAGCGTCTGACTCTTGTCTTGAGCTCAGGTCATGCTCTCACGGTTCGTGGGTTCCAGCCCCGCATCAGGCTCTGTGCTGACAGCTCAGAGCTTGGAGCCTGTTTGGGATTCTCCCTCTCTCTCCCTCTCTGCCCCCCACCACTCTCAAAATAAATAAATAAACAAACTGAAAAAGAAAATATTAGCAACTGTGTCAGCCCAACCCAAAATTCTCAGAAACTTTCAATACACGAACTAGAAGTAAGTGCAATTCGCCTGTCCCGTTACTGTGTGAACGTGCCTAGTAGTCACTATAATTTGCATTGTGTTCTGCAGACCTCAGAAAGCCGTGACCTACTGCACATTATTTTATCTGACCCTCATAATAACCCTGCAAGGGAGTTAAGCAAGTATCATTGTTCCCGTTCTAAAGGTGAAAACGAAGTCTCTCAGGGGATAAATTACATAACCAGGGTTAAATAAAGAGTAAAAAGAAGGGCAAAAACTCAAACCCAGAAGGCAAAAATCCATTTTCTTCCACCGCGTTATGAGGCCTCCCCTAGCACTTGGAGAGCAAACTGCTTATTGTATTAAGCAAGCCAAGGATTCTATCCCTTTAAAAAATTTTTTTAATGTTTTTTATTTATTTTTGAGACAGAGAGAGACAGAGCATGAACGGGGGAGTGGCAGAGAGAGAGGGAGACACAGAATCGGAAGCAGGCTCCAGGCTCTGAGCCATCAGCCTGACGCGGGGCTCGAACTCACGGACCGCGAGATGGTGACCTGAGCCGAAGTCGGACGCTTAACCGACTGAGCCACCCAGGCGCCCGGATTCTATCCCTTTTAAATGTATGCACTGATTTCATTTTCATTCAGATTTTCAGGCTTCGTGCTTTCATTATGTATTTTTCTTCAAAATGGAAAAAAAAAATACCTCAAAGCTTTATTCTGAATAAAAGCCAAATGTAAAGGTCTTAAAAAGAAAGACTTTGAGAGAGTTCCGTTTCCAGCTAGAAGGAGGACAATAAATATCTGGCAATCTTTCAGCTCTAAGCAACTCAAAATGCTGGGTAAAATCTAAGAAATACTCTCTAAAAATTTTTTTAATGTTTATTTATTTTTGAGAGAGAGAGAGAGAGGATGAGTGGAGGAGGGGCAGAGAAAGAGAGAGACATAGAATCCTAAGCAGGCTCCAGGCTCTGAGCTGTCAGCACAGAGCCCGACACAGGGCTCGAATCCACAAATCGCAAGATCGTGACCTCAGCCAAAGTCAGACACTTAACCAACTGAGCTACCCAGGTGCCCCAAGAAATACTCTTTGAAATCATAGCTGAGGGAGCATGAAACAAAAGGAAAATTGCACGTGCTACAAACGAAAGAGAGGCTGAAACAGAGAAGCAAGCTTGCTTAGCTACACTTGAACAGCAGGCAGTGTGCATCAGCCTTGGTTAATCAGGGCAACTCCAGTCCCCACCTGGTAAACGATGATTATGCCTTGAGCTTGTTCAGTGCAGGGTATTGGCCCTGAGACTGTCCTCACTAAAACTAAGATTTTAAAAGGGGTGTCCTCTTAGCGAAGGACTAGTTTAGAAACAATGCACCTTCCAACACAGCAAGAGAGCTTATCTGAGTAGACCTGGTTCAATGCGGAAAAAAAATCCTCCCAGGGGCGCCTGGGTGGCGCAGTCGGTTAAGCGTCCGACTTCAGCCAGGTCACGATCTCGCGGTCCGTGAGTTCGAGCCCCACGTCAGGCTCTGGGCTGATGGCTTAGAGCCTGGAGCCTGTTTCCGATTCTGTGTCACCCTCTCTCCGCCCCTCCCCCGTTCATGCTCTGTCTCTCTCTGTCCCAAAAATAAATAAACGTTGAAAAAACAAATTAAAAAAAAAAAAAATCCTCCCTGAAAAGTTAACACCACTGCCACAAACAAAGGTAGGGAGCTAATATTTATTGTACCCTACTGTGTGCCAGTCACCGTGCCAGGACCTCCTCCTAAATCCTCTCATATAAGAAGCATGAACTTCATTCAGTGGGCACCGAGGGACATTCAGAAGCAAGGCAGTGACACAATTATTGAGGATGGAAGAATGTCATACATTCGTTTGTGTCTTTGAGCTTCCTTTCAACGCGCAGAGTGGTAATATCTGGGAAATTGACTGAATTCTGGAAATGTGAAACAGTGGGGGTAGAACCACCCAAAGCTGGGGACTTTCTATGTTAACTCCAAACTTCGCTATTTTCCGAGGGCCCTCCAAGGAAGCTAAGTACCATTTACTCCTTCATTTTCTTGAATAAGTGCAGTACAACTATGGAAAAGTATACAGACTCGTTAAGAAATAGTGCACTTGGGGGTGGTCTAATCTGGAACCCAACCCAGATAACTGATGTCTAGCACCTCCTTTAACAAACAGTATGATATCTTAAAATATAGGATTCCCTGGGGGAAGGTATACCAAAGAATAGCAAGAATCTTCTGTTTCTTCATCATCATCATCACCATGATATCTTCACATTTTATATGTAGATGTAGCATAGTATAATCTATCTATATAGTGTGGTATAACCTCTCTCTAGAGTATAGTACATTGTATACAAACCATGTGTGCCTTGCTTGGCAATCCCTTTATGTTGCTCTAGTTCTACAATGGTTATTACATTATTCTGCCTCCATTTGTTCAATTGTGAGAGGAGAATATTGGGCTAAATGGTCTCCAGATTTCTTTCCAGGTCTAAATTTCTACACGTCTATGATTCTACTGCAGTCCATAATTATTTAATTATCTTTTGTTAATGGTGTTTTCTCTAGCCAAAGAAATTGTATTCAAACTCTATATGTTGTGTAAGCAATATTTCAAAGTAGCACACTGTATTTACCAGCATCACTTCTCTCCACTGTGTTAATATCAGTCTGTGGAGTTACTTTACATTGAACCATATACATTTACGCCTCTCCAGGAGAAACATCTCAGGACATTTGATAAAATAAGTGTTGCTTTTTAAATTTTTGATCACTTACAGTTACAGAGTCATTAGTAGTTATGTCGGGGAACGAATGGTTCTTTCTTAAGTGTAGCAACTATAATTTAGGATTATGCAGCCTTTCAGTAGGCAAACCATTTATATGGAAATCAAATAAATCTGTCTTTAGTTGGTTGCTTTATGAAAATAATCTCATAAAGACTTACTTCAAATAATGA